TAGTCCTTCAGCAGACCTGAATACCCAGGACACAATGCTGCTCCCTTAGATATTCTCATGGCCCCATGAGCATGCGTCTGTCGCACAACTTCATAGCTTACGCCTGACATGCTGTCCACACGTCTATGGAAGAGTGGAAAGGGTTTTCATCCGCCGTCTTTCCTGAGGTTCTAAGAGTTCCCGGCACACCACAGACGTGACTTGGCTGCTCCAGTGTCTCCACAAGGATGTCTGCTCACTCCACCTTGAACTTGCTGGGGTTACAACTGATGGACGTTAGTCGTTTGCCCCAAAGGGGTAGTTTCTCTTCCCCTCCAGAAGCAATATTGGTATTGTTTCATATTAGTGCCTGGGAGGCTTATTCCCTGCCAGAGCAGTTGTCAGGCTCGTGCTGGGGAAGAGTCCCACTGTGTGTGGTCAGAGCCCTCGGCTTGCTTGCCCGTGTTGATCATGTGGAGCTGGTGGGCGCTGATGAGGAAAGAAAGATGGGATGAAGCAGCGCCGGGGAGCCTGTGCCCTCCTGAGGCCTGGGCAGCCAGCTTTGCTCTGGAGAATGAGTGGGATCGCCTTGCTTAGCTGCCTGCCCCCCCCTGCAGTCTGTGCACTTGGCTCCGCGACACCCTCCTCCAGTCATGTGTGTGTAGCTTACACTGTCAAGGCTGTGAACCTGGTGTTGAAAATGGAGCAGGGTGTTTAAAGTGATGCTCTCTCTCTCTCCTAGGGTGAGCAGACTAAAGAGGTAAACGCAGGGATGTGTGGTCAGATCCCATCCGAACACTCTTGCCTGGATTAGCAAACTTAGCATCAGAACAACTTGCTTTTCAGTAAAGATTCTGGTCACCTTGGCGGCTGCTGCTGTAGAAGAACCTGGGGAGGGCAGCAGATGTGCTGACCGGACCCTGTACCTGCCTGTTAACCTCCCCGCGCCCCTCCCCCACCCCCACCCACCCCCCACCCCCGTGCTGTGGCAAAAGAGTTGAAAACACAGGCTGGGGCTGAGGGTCATTTCTTGCCCATCATTCATGAGGTCCTGCCTTCAACCCCCAGTATCAATTGAACCAGGTAGGGTGGCACATGCCTCTAACCCCCCGCACTTGGGAGGCAGGAGGATCATCCTTGGCTATAGTGAATTTGAGGCCAGCCTGGGCTAGAGACCCTGCCTCAACAACAAAAAGCTGTACACGACGGTAGTGCCAGCCCTCAAAGCATTTCCTGTACAACTAGTCAGGATACCAGAGTTGCTCAACTATTTCAGGTCTGCCTGAGAAGAGACCTGTCATCCCCAATTGGGCTGGTGTGGGACTGCATGCAAAACCTCGGGCGTTACCTGTTGGTGCTTAGAACGCAACATCAGGCAGGGACCTGCTAGTGGGAACCTGTGGTCATTCCTGACCCCCTCTCGCCTGGGCTCTGTCTTTGCTGTTTGAAAACAAAACAAAACACCAACTTCATTTATTACTGTTGTGTGTATGTGCGGTGTGTGTGTGTGGGGGTGTGCCACAACACACATATAGAGGGCAGAGGACAGCTTCGTGGAATTGGTCCTCTCCCTCCACCTCTACACGTGTTCTGGATTGAGCTCAGGTCATCAGGACGCTGTGAAGAGTGCTTTACCTGCTTTGCTAGCCTGCTCCTGCTTTTCCTTTTGTATCTTAAAGCACGTGTGTGTGTGTGTGTGTGTGTGTGTGTGTGTGTGTGTGTGTGTGTGTGTGTGTGTGCGCGCATTTAGCCCAGGGCTGCCACCTCTTCCTTCTGTCTCTATTGGGTGACTGAGTTTATGGTCCAGAGTAAATGGATATCAACTCCATTTACTACGCACCACAGGGATGCACGGATGTTACTGACATCGGGTATGTGTCTTCACCCGTATTTGCTGAGTGCCGCCCTGTGGGAGAAGAAGGTGGTAGCCGATATGCTGGCGGTCCAGAGTTGGCACCCACACATCCATACCAGCCGTAGGAGGCAGGCATCATCCCGTCCACAGGCCAGGGTATGACTTTGAGAAGATTGCAGTTTTTCTAAGATCTTTCTGCCATGTTCACCGCTATAGAGGCGGTGGGACCTGGGAGAATAGAACCTAGAGCCTAAAAATGAGGCCGACTAAAGTCTCACGCAATAGCCAACTTTATTCAGAGCACCAGACAATTTATACTCTGAGGGTTAAAAAAAAATCACATGAGTAAGTTCTCATGAGTTCAAACTATACACCTTCACCAGGACAAGTTGCACACAGGGAAAACATGTTTTCCCATAGACGCATATAAACAAATAACAGTAGCCAGTTGTGATGAGCAATTAATTGGAAGTAAACTCACTTCTGTCTGTCACACTTGAGAGGGGCATGCAGACACATTCTAAGAACAATCCCTTCTTTTGAAGAAACTAAGGTCACACGACTCCATTCTTGGACCGCCAGTGTGTTCCGACACCGCCAGTCCCTGGTGGGGTCAGGGTCAGACCTGGCTTTATCTGGGTGTACCTGTGTGGTGTCATGGCAGGCACAATGTGGAATAAACGAGGGGCCTCTGACCAGGACTGGGGGGGGAGAGTGTCAGAGGGGAACCGTGGGGGTAAGAAATGAGGGCACCTGCTGTAGATTGAAGGAAACTAAAGAGACAGGGAGGCTTTGTGTGTAGTGTTTTAAGTTTTCGAAACACTGTTGAGTATATGGTGTTGCTCAAAAATACTTAAAAGCGCTCCAGGAAAGGCACAAAGCTACGCAGAGAAACCCTGTCTCGAAAAACCAAAAAAAAAAAAAAAAAAAAAAAAAATACTTAAAAGCAAGATATGCCAGAAGAGTGATAGAATTCAAAAAGGACCTGCTGGTGACCCCAGTCATTCTAACCGACAAGCAGAGATCACCGACAGAAGCTCAGGTCCCTGAGTGAGAGAGTGACGGGGGCAGAGCACCGTGTGATGCTGTCTCCCCTCGGAGCTGAATGTCTACAGGGAAAGTGTACTTGTGTGCTGCTAAGGTGGTAGGCACACTGGCCCCACACTGCCAAGCCTGACGCCATTCTCCACTGAACAGCCATGCGGAGGGCTCAGCACCACCTTTGTGGCGTGCTTTGTTCTACAGAATCTTGACCACATGCGTGGCGGCAGGACACAGGCAGGTGCTGTGTAACCTGCAGGACACCTTAGCAGAGTGCTGCCAGACTTCAGTCCATGCTGGCGTGGGCTACTGGAAGTATGACACTCTCTCTGGGAGTCTCCTAATTCACTGGTGATGAGAGACCCATCTGAAGGCCCTACACAGACCCTTCCCCCAAAACAGTCACCGTCACCTGTTAGGTGGCATCTTTCCATCCTGGCTTGATGGGAAGTGGATGAGGATGTGTGGTCTCTGTGTCTCCTAGTTAGGGAAGTGTTGCCCCACCTCCCAGCCTCATTTCCCGCCCTCAGGCGAGTCCACAGCCCTTCGGCTTTCAGTCGCCCATGTTCTGACTTCCCGGAGGACTGTGTATCTCTTCTGAGAAATGGGTTATGGCTGTCCCAATGGTCAACGCTCCCTTTCTTCCAGCACCAGCTCCCGTCATCCACTGCTGGAGTTCCGCGTCTGCGCTTCATCCTCGGAACTTGCCTCTTTGCTTTTCCCACAGGTTCCAGCATGAATGGCCTGGAGGAGCCCAGCATCGCCAAGAGGCTGAGAGGCACCCCTGAGAGGATCGAGCTGGAGAACTACCGCCCATCTGTGAGGCAGGTAGAGGAGCTGGAGGAGGTGCCTGAGGAGACACAGGCCGAGCATAACCTGAGCAGTGTACTAGACAAGGGCACCGAGGAGGATGCAGCCAGCAGGTTAGCCCATGCCCGTGGTTTGCCTGGCTGGGGGTGGTGTCCCTGGGGCGGTGGTCTTACTGGGTCCCTGGATTCAGCTGGCAGCAAAAGAGCTTGACGAGCAAGGGGATTTGAACCAGTGTGATTGGGTTGGAATCTTGGTTTTTTTGCTTCTCAGCTGTGAAGTAGGCAAGTCCCTCTGTTTCTTCATCTATGACGTAATACCTCTAGTATCTAGTGTCTTCCTCAGAATCAGTGTGAAGGTTAAGGAGCAGACAGGTCACTGTGTTTACAACAGTCCTTAGCATGTCTAAGCATGTGGAGTTTCCTCTGTATGGTGCTGACCGTGTATGTGTTCCTGAGAGTCCTAGGGATAGATGTGGGCCATGTGCGTTGTCCCCTTGTAGGGGAGGACACTGGTGTAACTAGGACGGGACCCGTAATTCCAGCTCAGACTTCCTAGGCCCAGGCCCTGAGTCGTTCCTGTTTTCCCTGCCGCCCTGCGCCATGTTCTCCCTACAGCATCAAGGTCAGATCAGTTCCTGTGTGACCCTGTAAGTCTGCAGCAGTGTAGGTCGCCTTCACTGGGTGGAGCGGGGTTGGAAAGGACCACCATCTGTAAAATGGTGCCCGCTCCCCTAGCACTTTGTGACTCATTGGGAAGGTAACAGGAACGGTAAGTCACACTTGCCATCCGCCAGCTGGTGCTTCCAAGTCCGTGGGAGGGGAAGGACCGTCACAGGAAGGAAAGCAAGCTGAAAAGAGCGAGCCTCCTCGGAGCGGGTGTTTCCTCAGAAGATTCCGGGCTCCGAGGAGAGGTGACTGGGCCCCTGATTACTCACTCTGCAGCCTTAGGGAAGCCACCTCACCTCTCTGTGGTTAAAGAGGGGCAGGGACCTTGCATGTCAGGGGCCACACGCAGGAGGTGTCTGGCTTCTCCGGTCAGCGTCAGTTCTGTTTAGCTGACCAGTGTCTTCAGGACGAAACATGCATCCTCTTACCCCAGCAGCTGAACCTGTATATGATGCTCTCGTGGCCCAGAGTATTGGTGGAATTATTAAGACCACTCCACGTAGTTAAAAGGAAGGTTTATTTTATGGGGTAACTCACAAGTGAAGGGATAGGTAACAGGGTCTGGGAAAGGTGTAGTGCAGTCCAGCGGTGTTCTCTTGGAGAACTCTGCTCTGTCTACCTCCAGTGTCCAGGGTCCAGGAAACAAGAGAGCCAGCGCATCAGGATCTAGGGTCTTCAGGGTCCTCTCTCGCCCCGCCTTGTAGGCGTGACAGTTACCGAAGCCTCGATGGGGGTTGGAACTTCCAGATCAAAGCTGGAATAGCTACCCACTACACCTAAGTCTTTTGTGTCAGTAGAGGTGGGAGAGAAGAGGATGACGAGGAAGGGCAGAGTCCATAGAAGCCAGACTTTTTCACAGGACTCCTGTGCCAGAGCTGAGACTCCAGACCCAGAACGTTGAGTCAGAGGTGATGAGCAGATGTATGGTGATAGATAAGGCAGCCTTTCTTTAATAGCCCGAGACTCTCCAGAGTGCATTTCCGAGAAGAACTGCTTTCAGCCGCATCCTAGCAGGAAGATCTGGGGCGAGCACTATGATGAACTGCCCCTTGGGCTGGCTCCACAAACAGCTCCCCTGCACACTCAGGAGACAGCCCCTTGTTGGCACAGTTCCAGAGCCTTCACTGACCTCTGGCCACAGTCATATAACTGCAGTGTATCCAAAGTGCCCGTGGGGGCACACCCTCCACGCCTGCCCTCGGGTGAAGGAGAGCACTCAGTGCCAGCCCCACAGCTCAGCCAAGCACATTGATAAGCCCTTGAGCAGAGCAGGTGGCTTAACCTTGGGATGCGTGGGGGTCAAATATGAAATCAGCATCTGCCTAATACAAAAATGCCTGCTTAAATTCTATTTGGGGGGGGGCACACAGCAGCTTAGATATGGTATGATTCGGTGGGAGCGCATTTTCCTTGCATGTTCAACATGGGGTTCTGTCTTTGACAGTGTGAACATAAATGAAAGATCTTTTATAAAAATGGAAAAAAAAATCACAATAAACCCGTATCAAATGCTTCATAAAGTGAGGGACCTCAGAGCAGGAGTTACGGATTTTGACTCACTTCCCTGGGAAGTGGTAAGGTGCCTGAAACAGATGCGTTCTATCCATCTTCCCTATAGCACCAAATTCAGGTTCAGTCAGCTGCATTTGCAGCTTTCAGCCTCCTTAGTGAGGGTTAGCCCTGAACATGAGACCTGACATCTTTTAAGAATCACCTTGTCGGCCGGGCGGTGGTGGCGCAGGCCTTTAATCCCAGCACTCAGGAGACAGAGCCAGGCGGATCTCTGTGAGTTCAAGGCCAGCCTGAGCTACAGAGTAAGTTCCAGGAAAGGCGCAAAGCTACACAGAGAAACCCTGTCTCGAAAAAAAAAAAAAAAATCATCTTGTCCAAGCTGGGCATAGTGGTACATGCCTGAAATCCCAGAGGCAAGGAGATCAAGAGTTCAAGGCCAACTTGGGTTACATGAAAAGGAAGAATGGATGAATGAATGAATGCATGAATGCATATGTGCATGCATGAGTGAATTTTCCGGTCCAGCCCAGGAGCTTGTTCTCCCCCAATTCAGAGAGATTCCATGGCTGTGGAATCAGACCTATATACTTCAAGTCCAGCTCTACCACCCACTGACTGCTGGCAAATCACTTATCACGTGTGCCTCAGTTTCCCCATCTGAAAAGGCCATTGTGTGTCCTGAGTTTATCATGAACAATTACATGAATGAATGCCAGGTACTCGGTGTCACCAGGCTGGTGTCAGCAGTAACTGTCACTACTCACACATCCATTACAGCGCAGCAACCCTCTCTAGTGGAGTACTCCAGGGATGCAGGTGGTTGCCATCACCAGGTGGGTGAAGAGCCAGAACCTGATTGGCTCAAGCTTACCCTGCCCTGGGCACTGCTCATCTGCATCGCTGTATCATAGCTACCTATGTAGCAGGTAGCTGGGCTGAGGGACCATTCTACTGTTCTGGGAAATTCACTCACTCATTCATTCATTCATTCATTCATTCATTCATTCATTCATTCATTCTTCCTTCTCATGTAACCCAAGTTGGCCTCGAACTCTTGATCTCCCTGCCTGAGAACCTTCCTTTTAACAATAAGGCTGGTATCAGGAGACAAGCTTTGGAAACCGGTTTCCAGGGTGTCTGAGGTCTGCAGGGTCAGCAGACATCCTGGGAGATTTTCATAATCACCTCTATGGTTTAGTTCACATGGTGTCTGCAAGTCCTAAAC